GGTACAGTCTCCCTTCTACAGGTGGCGATTGAGCAAAAGCAGGAAGCCCCCACATGTCGACTAGACTCAGGACCTGAGATTTAGCCTCAGCAACAGGGAGCAGGATGAGAAATGCCCTGCTCCTTCTGGGAACTGGAGGAGAGGGAACGCTATGCTTGGGGCTACAGCAATCTGGAACAGTCTCTACCTTCTAAGCTAGAGGGAGAAGGAGAGAGGGATCAGTCTTGGTTCAGATGCCACAGACTTACTGTCTTTCACCTTTTAGCAGATTGGTTTGAATAGATGTTTCTGCCTTGCTGTTTGCCCTTGGGACCTTTTTACAGAGGTTTAAAGCGTTTTTTTTTTTTTTATTTCTCCAGTTCCACTGGGGAAGCTGCTTAGCAGAACACTGTCATATCACAATTCAGCTGTCTTTTACACATTAGTGAGCTACTCTGCAAAACAGTTTGGCAGTTTCATAAAAACTAAACATATACTTACCATATGACCCGACAGTTGCTCTCCTGGGCATTTATCCCATAAAAATGAAAACCCTCTGTCCACACAAAAATCTGGATAGAGGTGTTCATAGCAGTGTCTTTGATAATAGCCAAGAGCTGGAAATAACACAGATGGCATCAGACGGTTAAACAAATGAGCCGTTGAATCCTGTCAGCAATGGACAGGAAAGAACTATTGATTATGCAACAGCTTGGGCATTGTGCTTAGGCTTACTGGAAAAAAAAAATCAATTTTCAAAACACACACCCCCTTCCTTCCCCAAAAAAGACACATACCATGTGATTCTATTTATATAATCTCAAAGTGACAGACAAAGTTATACAGACAAGAAATGAGTGGATCGAGGGTTAATCATGAGGAAGGGGTGGTGTGACCATAAAGGTGTGGCGCAGGAGTGGTGATGAGTACCTGTAAACCTGGATTGATAGAGCAGTCACATAAATTTACATGTGATGCAATGACACATACTCACTTTACATCAGTGGCAGTTTCCTGGGTGTGATAACTGCACTGCAGTTACCAAGATGTAAACAGTGAGGGGAAACTGGGTGATGGGAAACACTGGACCTCTCTTTACCATCTTGTTATTTTTTCCCCAACAGAAGCTTTAGTGAGCTATAACTCATGTAGCATGCAGTTAACCTATTAAAATGTACAGCTCAGTGATTCTTAGTGTGTTCACAAAGTTGCGTTTATCTCTACATTTAGTTCTAAAACGTTTTCATTAGCCCAGCAAGTACAATCCTTGGCTATTAGCTGTCATCGCCAGTCCTGCCATCTCCACTCCTCCCTGCCCCCAACCCTGGGCAGCCTCTTTTATCTACTTGCCATCTCTTTGGATTTCCCATTTCTGGACATTTCCTATGAACAGAATCACATACCACGCAGTCTTCTGTAACAGGTCTATTTCACTTAATTTAGTGTTTTCAAGAGTCATCCGTATGGCATGTATCAGGACTTCATTCAATTTTCCTGCCAAATAATACTCTGTGTTATGGATGTATACCACATGTTATTTATCCATTCATCACGCAATGGGCGTTTGGGTTGTTTCCACTTTTTGATTATGAATAATGTTCCTATGATAATTTGTGTCTACATTTTTGTGGGAACATTTGTTTTCATTTCTCTTGTACATACCCCTAAGAATGGAATTTCTGGGTTGTTTGGTAACTATATTTAACATTCTAGGAACTCTGAGAGTATTTTCCAAAGCAAGTACATTTTACTTTCCCACCAGGAATGCATACGACTTCTGATTTTTCCACATCTTCACCAACATTTACTCTTTTTTTTATTATTATTATGGCATCTTAAGGGGTTTGAAATGGTACTTTACTGCAGTGTTTATTTGCATTTCCCTAATGCCTAATGAGAAGAGGTGGCAAGAATACACAGAAGAACTTTACAAAAAAGATCTTCACAACCCAGATAATCACAATGGTGTGATCACTCACCTAGAGCCAGACATCCTGGAATGTGAAGTCAAGTGGGCCTTAGAAAGCATCACTACAAACAAAGCTAGTGGATGTGATGGAATTCCAGTTGAGCTATTTCAAATCCTGAAAGATGATGCTGTGAAAGTGCTGCACTCAATATGCCAGCAAATTTGGAAAACTCAGCAGTGGCTACAGGACTGGAAAAGGTCAGTTTTCATTCCAATCCCTAAGAAAGGCAATCCCAAAGAATGCTCAAACTACCACACAATTGCACTCATCTCACACGCTAGTAAAGTAATGCTCAAAATTCTCCAAGCCAGGCTTCAGCAATACGTGAACTGTGAACTTCCAGATATTCAAGCTGGTTTTAGAAAAGGCAGGGGAACTAGAGATCAAATTGCCAATATCCGCTGAATCATCGTAAAAGCAAGAGAGTTCCAGAAAAATATCTATTTCTGCTTTATTGACTATGCCAAAGACTTCGACTGTGTGGATCACAATAAACTGTGGAAAATTCTGAAAGAGATGGGAATACCAGACCACCTGACCTACCTCTTGAGAAACCTGTATGCAGGTCAGGAAGCAACAGTTAGAACTGGACATGGAACAACAGACTGGTTCCAAATAGGAAAAGGAGTACATCAAGGTTGTATATTGTCACCCTGCTTATTTAACTTACATGCAGAGTACATCATGAGAGACGCTGGGCTGGAAGAAGCATAAGCTCGAATCAAGATTGCCAGGAGAAATATCAATAACCTCAGATATGCAGATGACACCACCCTTACGGCAGAAAGTGAAGATGAACTAAAAAGCCTCTTGATGAAAGTGAAAGAGGAGAGTAAAAAAGTTGGCTTAAAGCTCAACATTCAGAAAACTAAGATCTTGGCATCTGGTCCCATCACTTCATGGGAAATAGATGGGGACACAGTGGAAACAGTGTCAGACTTTTAATTTTTTGGGCTCCAAAATCACTGCGGATGGTGACTGCAGCCATGAAATTAAAAGATGCTTACTCCTTGGAAGGAAAGTTATGACCAACCTAGAGAGCATATTAAAAAGCAGAGACATTACTTTGCCAACAAAGGTCCAACTGATCAAGGCTATGGTTTTCCCAGGGGTCATGTATGGATGTGAGAGTTGGACTGTGAAGAAAGCTGAGCACCAAAAAATTGATGCTTTTGAACTGTGGTGTTGGAGAAGACTCTTGAGAGTCCCTTGGACTGCAAGGAGATCCAACCAGTCCATCCTAAAGGAGATCAGTCCTGGGTGTTCATTGGAAGGACTGATGCTGAAGCTGAAACTCCAGTACTTTGGCCACCTTATACGAAGAGTTGACTCATTGGAAAAGACCCTGATTCTGGGAAGGATTGGGGGCAGGAGGAGAAGGGGACGACAGAGGATGAGATGGTTGAATGGTATCACCGACTCAATGGGTATGAGTTTGAGTAAACTCCGGGAGTTGGTGATGGACAGGGAGGCCTGGCGTGCTGCCATTCATGGGGTCGCAAAGAGTCAGACACGACTGAGCGACTGAACTGAACTGAACTAATGCCTAATGATGTTGAATATCTTCATGTTTGTTGGCAATTTGTATATGTTTTTTGGAGAAATGTATGTTTAGATATTTTGCCCTTTTTAATTCGTTTATCTTTATTGTTGAGTGGTAAGAATTCTTCCTATGTTCTAAATACAGGTCTCTTACCAGATATATCTCTATACTATCTTTGCAGCTTCTGTGAATCTATAATTATTTTAAGCTGAAATGTTTTTTATATAACGACAGACATAGACCACATAAAACTAATGAAAGCTGAACAGAGTCAGTGGACTTTGTTAGTAGCTTGGTTGTGATGTTGTACTGCAGTTTTGCCAGATACCACCCCTGAGGGAGACTGGATAAAGAATATGTAGGACCTCTCTGTATTATTTCTTACAATTGCATGTGAATCAATAATTATCTCAAAAAGTTGGAGATTTTTAAATTACTTTCTTGCTAATATTTGCCTACCAGATAAGTTTGGGGTTTCTGTGTTGTTGTTAATTGCTCTAGGAAGTGAAGTTTATCAGTTTTAGGTTCACAACAAAATTGAGTGGAAGATAGATTTCCCACATCTGCCCCCCATCCCCTGTCCCCACATATGCACAGCCTCCCTCACCACAGTGGCCCATTTGGTGAGCCTACACCGAGATCATTATCACCCAGAGTTTATCATTTACTTTAGGGTTCAGTCTTGGTCTTATGCATTATATCAGTTTTGACAAATATATAGATAGGGTTTTTTTCAAGATTAATTTTTTAGGGACTTACCTGGTGGACCAGCGGTCAAAAATCTACCTTCCAGTGTGGGGGATGAGGGTTCAGTCCCTAGTGGGGAACTAAGATCCCACATACCACAGCAACTGAGCCCATGCATTCTAGAGCCCATGCTCTGCAGGTAGAGAAAGTCTGAGTGCCATAGCAAAGATCCAGTGCAGCCAGAATTTTAAACAGAAAAAATATTAGTTTTTTCAATAATATAATTTTTTTGATTTTTCAAAAATAGTTTTTAATTATCCATGTAATGTGTAAATCCATTTTAAGTCCTGGTGAGCAGTAATATTAAAACTTCACAGATACAGCTAAACTCACCTCTGACAGGTGCCCCTCAGTCCTAGTTTGTCTTTCCCCAGTCCAAATGATAAAGTTCATATTTATTTTACTACAGTGCTGATTCGTGGACTTTACCACCTGAAGTTAAATGTTACTCAAGTTGGAGCCCTATGATTTCTTCCAAGATCTAAATAACACCACAGAGCTTCTAAGCTTAATGCCCAGAGTTTCCACATGCTTGCAAACATCACCCCTGAGCAAGGCTCCAACCCACTGAAGACCATTTCCCTCATTTAAAACTTTAGAGTATTAGCTTCCTCTCTTTTGAACTCATTAGATTAGCAAAGTAAGTCTTATTTTGCTGGAGTGAACCAAAAGAGCTTTTATTCATGTTGTGGCTTATATTCTCAGTGACTCTTTTTACATATTTTTTAAAAATTTTTTTTATTTTTTTTTTATGGTTCCAGAGGAGAAGAAAGCTATGCTGCAGGAAATAGCTAATCAGAAAGGCGTATCGTGTCGTGCCCAAGGCTGGAAGGTTCACCTCTGTGCAGCCCAGTTGCTGCAGCTGGTAGGTGGCGGTCTGGCAGTTACGTCCTGCTGAGCACAGCTGAGTTCATAGAGCATTTTCTTTAGAGTGATTCTGAAGTGTTCCCAGTTAACATGGGGCATGGTGGAATTTTTATGTGTGCTATGTAATATAACTATCTGTTCCATGGACGTAATCTAAGTGTATCTTAGTTTTGTTTCCCTATAACCAAAATATACTGAACAACTTTAGTTTGTAAGGCCTACAGTTAAGGTTCATATTATGTGTTGCCGTGACATCTGAAACAGAAGGGGCCTCAGGTGGCCTGTCAACCCATTCTCACTCTGCTCCTCACTGTGGGAATCAGGCATAGTTCCTCCTCCTCCCTGGATAGTGGGCTTCAGTTCTCTGCCAGCTGGAGATACTCACATAAGCCAGTGATACCCTCCTGGGGGCACCATGCCCTCTTAGTACTACAAAGCCTGTCTCCTGCAGCCCCTGTTTGTTCCCTCTCTCTCTGTCATGGAGCGCACCCCGCTGTGGTTCGGTGTGGCAAGCAATGTCCTCCTCCCCTGGGCCGTGAGTATACTGACTAGTAAACTGCTGTTGACCTCATCTGTCCAGTGCGTTCTGTGTTCAGCCTTTTCCATAACCCTTGGGTGAGACTCCTTCCTTCAACAAGATAAAGAGGAGCCGCTCAAAATGATCTCACAAAGTCTTTCTGTCTTTGGAGTAGCCATGATCTGAAGAACGTTGTCTTTTTATGAGTGTTGTTTTTTTTTTTTAAGTAGTACCATGGCTAGGTTTAAATTTAGCATAAAAGCATATTTTTATGGAACTTACAGACTTGTTTTTCAAAGAAATTGTGCATTTGGGGGAGAACTTAAAAGCTGTTCTTGGACTTCCGTGGTGGTGCAGTGGTTAAGCGTCTGAGCTTCCACTGCAAGGAGGTCAGGTTGGATATCTTAGGGAAGTAAGATCCCACATGCTGCATGGTGCAGGCAAAAAAAAAAAGTTACCCTAGAAGATACTCTGAATTACGGCCAATTGTGATGTAAATTGTCGATTAACTTTCCTTGCTGTACTGTATCTTAGTCACTGGGAGAAATGATTTTATCAACCAAATAGACCTTATAGCAGTTTACACAGGTGATTCAAGGTGGGTTTTTTGCCTGAATTTGATGAAGAAAAGTATTTCTGAGGTCATGATTCCCTCCTTCTTGTTTGTTGCAGACGAATCTAGAACATGATGTTTACGAAAGACTCACCAACCTACAGGAAGGGATTATCCCAAAGAAAAAAGCAGCAACTGATGATGATTTACACCGAATAAATGAACTAATACAGGTTTGAAGGAGCCCTTTCCCTCCCCTTATTTCTCCCTTCCCTTCTCTCCACTAATATCTTTGGTAAAAACCCATTATTTTCTTCAGCCTGCATTATCCAGAAACAGTAGAGTGTTTTTCTCTTATGTGAAAGCCTCAAAATGGCTCAATTCAAAGGTGAAAGTTCTCTAAAAGCCACACTGTCTTGAAGATTACTGGTTGATGATGTCATGTCTTTTGTTTCAGGGAAATATGCAGAGGTGTAAACTTGTGATGGATCAAATCAGTGAGGCCAGAGACTCCATGCTTAAAGTTCTAGATCATAAAGATCGTGTCCTGAAGCTTCTAAACAAGAATGGGACTGTCAAGAAGGTGTCAAAATTGAAGCGAAAGGAAAAAGTCTAGACCCCAAATCAGGACTTTGGAAAAAGAATTTATGGAGAATGATGTTGGGGGTGGGGGAAGGGATTGGTTGTTTTCAAAGTGGAACGTTGAGGTAAAGGCAAGCGTTCCGTAATTCACACGTGGAAGCAGAGGGACCCAGAACATCCAGGGATGTGGAAGGATCAGAACTGATGTGACAGTGGACTCCAGTCTTTCTTTCAGGCTTACTGTGTCGTGCCTGACTCCTGTTGCAACAGGGTCTCCTGGTTGGAATCAGTGACACAAGTGACAGGCTGGCGTTTTTCAGCCTTCCAGTTGATAAACTGTTTATCTGATGGATTTCTGCAGGACCCATACTGAGCCTGAACTGAAAGTATCCACTTGGACCATCTGTGCTCTCTCTACACTGAAAATCAAACCTCTTCCCCTCGGCCTAGTCGGTTCTTACTCTGACCTTCAGATGCCCACGCTGGCCTTCTAAAGCAGTGCCATGGCACTTGAGAGACCTGCCACATCTCACTCTAAAGGGTTTGAACTGCCAATTCTTGTCATTTTCTAAAGAACCGTTTCAAAGTGAAATTGTTATATTGTCTGTCCTGCGTGTGTCTGAGTTGGGTTTTTGTGGAGGTTCAGAGCAGGCAACACCATAAGTTGCTCTGAGATCCTTGTTCTGAAGTACATTCTTGGTTATCTGTACTTCTGTAGCTGGTGTGATGCTGTTAATTATACGTATGGCACATCTCCAAATGTTAATAAAGGACTCAAAGAGGTTTTGTACATAAGCAGTTTGCATCTTTTTATGAAGCTCATCAGTGCTGTACATCACTTGAGCGTTTACCCTTCTGGCGTTTCTCTCACATTACTGAGTACTCTGTTAAAGTTTGGTTACTCCACACAGAGTTCCACTTACCTTGGTATCTTGAAGATGTCACAGATGGTAAAGCCTATGAGCTTTTGATTATCTTAAATATGAGACTACATTGTACCTCATTGTACATATAAATTGGTCATTTTATAGTACAAAAAATAAGGTTGCGGCAATGGAGGAAGGACTTCCAGGAGAGTGGATTTTCTTTCCGAGGTTGCCTTCTGTGACCTCGCTGGAGTGGGAAAGTATCCTAGGCTTGCTTTCTCTTTTTTTGGCTGTGTTGGATCTCAGTTGTAGCCTGGGGGATCTCTGTTGAGCCATGCGGGATCTAATTTAGTTGCAGCACAGACTCTAGTTATGGTACACAGGCTTAGTTGCCCTGTGGCATGTGGGATCTTAGTTCCCCAGCCAGGGACCTAACCTGCATCCCTCATAGTGGAAGGCGGACTCCTAATCACTAGACCACCAGTAAAGTCCCCAGACTGGCTCTTTACCTTGTCCTAAACAAATCTGAGAGTCTATGCCACATTTGATCCAGTCTTTAGAACCAGTGTTATAAATTGGCCATATTATAGGACAGTTAAGGCTGCAGCAACGGGGGAAGGACTTCCAGGAGAGTGGGTTTTCTTTACGAGGTTACCTTCTGTGAACTCGCTGGAGTGGGAAGGTAGCCTAGGCTTGCTTGCTCCTTTTTTTGACTGAGTCAGGTCTTAGTTGTAGCGTGGGGGATCTTCATTGAGATGCGGGATCTCTAGAACCCTGGCTGGGGAACCGGATCCCACCTGTCACAGGGCAGCTAAGCCTGTGCACCACCACGAGAGTCTGGTTCTCCTGAGACAGCCTTCCTTGAACTGGAGTGGTGAACTCTCATCTGGTATAGGACTGGGGAAGAGAAACGAAGCAGGCTTTCTGCCTTCTTCCGGTGTGGCCGCGTAGCCTGCATAGCCTGGGCTAAAGAGGTCCTCAGAAGAGTCAAGGGCTGCTTCACTAGAGTGTTTCAACCTGAAGCCATTGCTAAGTGTGCGCTGGACTCCAGTATAGTTTTCTGTGCAATGCAGTGACAGTGTTAGAAGAGGGCTCCTTTGCCCCTCTTTCTCACTGTGTGTGTGGCCTCGAGATGCGTGGTGCGCTGGCTTGTGACGGACAGGACCCGGGTATTTGGGATCCTACATCAGAGACCGGGTCTCTCTCAAAGTATGGTGTGTGTGCTCACTCACTCAGTTGTGTCCGACTCTTTGCCACCCCCAGGACTTGTTATCTCTGTTTAAACAAAACTTCAATAATTCGATAACCCTGGTCAAAAGAAGCTTGTCAGTGCAAGCTTTGATGTCAGGGCAGGTGAGAACAGTGGTGTTTTCTGTCTTCCCTCACCTTATGAGGACAATGTGATCAGAAGATGGGAGGGGGATGGAGGAGAGAGTGAATCATCTGTGTATACACTGTTATTTAAAAACAGCTTTATGGAGCATCGATTGACATATTAAGTATACAATTTGATAGGATTTAACCTACGTAAATACCTATGAAATATTCACCACAATCAAGAGAGGGAAGAAATCAGATGCAAAAGTTTCCTTGGCGCCTCTGTGACATCTTGCCTCTCACCCCTAGCTGCCGTCCACCCATCTCCAGGCAAACAGTAATCTGCTTTCTGCCAGTCTAGTTTGCATTTTCTGTGATTTCATATGAACGAAATCATACATTATATTATTTTTTGAGGGAGGGAGTCTGGCTTCTTTTACTCAGTATGGTGGAAATTTATGCTGAAATTTACTCTTACGGCTTATTTCAATAGTTCATTGCTTTTTATTGCTAAAAGGCAAGCATTTTGTCATCTGAATATGTATATTCCTTCCACAAGTTGCTTCTCTGTCCACCTGTAGAAAGACATTCAGGTTGTTAGATTTTCGTTATTACAGGTGTATGAACAAATGTTGGTATACAACTTAACTGGTGATTTTATCTTAGTTGTATTTTCCAGGGATTTATGACCAGGAGATGGTGCTAAGTCCAGATACCCAGTGGCTCCTGGTCCAGAAAACTATCACTCACAAGTTTATCATATTTTTTAAAACCTGTGTATTGCAAAAGATCATTAACTAGAAAATACCTAATTTTTTTTTATCGTAGTAATAGTAATTAAAAGTCACAGTTTGAGAGTTTAAAGTTATTTTAGAGGTTATATAATCCAACCTAACCTGTGGTGAAAGGGACACATTTGAAAAGATGTAATTTTTTATTATAGAATTTTCCCTGGTGGCTCAGACGGTAAAGCATCTGCCTACAATGCGGGAGACCCAGGTTCAATCCCTGGGTTGGGAAGATCCCCTGGAGAAGGAAATGGCAATCCACTCCAGTACACTTGCCTGGAAAATCCCATGGATGGAGGAGCCTGGTAGGCTGCAGTCCATGGGGTCGCAAAGAGTCGGACATGACTGAGCGACTTAACTTTCACTTTCACAGCACAGATAAAGTATGTGAAACAAATATATAGCCTTGTAAGTTCTTAAAAGAACAACTGTGAAATGATCCCCCAGGGTAAGAAATATAACTTTGCTAGTCACAAACTACTGTATCCTAATCACAGCCCTCTTCTTCCCTCTAAAATAACCATCTTAACTTTTACCCCAAAATAATTTTATTGTGGTATAATTACAGAGAGTTAAATACCCACATCTTAAATTTACAGTTTTGTGTTTTTTGACACATATATACAGCCAAGGCTAAGATCCAAAAAAGAGCCCATGGCATTACTGTATAACCCTAGAAACAGTGCTCTTTTGTAGTCAATACACTTCTGCACCCACCCCCAACCCCCAAGATAAACACTGATCTACTGCCCCTTATCATAGATTGGTTTTGTCTATTCTTGAACGTTATGTAAATGGAATCATACAGTATGTACTTATTTGTATCTGACTATTCTGATCAACATGATCTGAGATTCTTCCATCTGCTAAGTGTATCCCAAGTTGTTTCTTTTTACTGCTGTGTGACTGTGCCGCAGTCTGTTTCCCTGTTATCCCACTGAAGGACGGCTTGTGCTTCGAGCTCTCCACTATGAGTAAAGCTGCTGTGAGCATTCAAATTCAGGTTCTCGTGTGGAAATAAGTGTTCACGTCAGTCGGGTAAAAACCTAGAAATGTGATTGCTGGGTCATAAAGTAAAACCATGTCTAGTTTTCTAACAGACTGCCAAACCACCTTCCCAAGCAGCTGTACCATGTCACAGCTCCACCAGCAGCATAAGTGTTGCTGCTGTCCCACGTGTTTGGGTTTTAGCCATTCAAACAGGTGCATCGTGATTTCTCACGACGTGAAGTTGAGCGTTTCTTTCAAATGCTCGTTTTCCACCTTTATATCATTTTTGATGAAGTATTTGTTCACATCTTTGCCTGTATTTTAATTAGCTTCTTTGTTTTCTAGTGGAATTTTAAGGGCCTTTTGTGTATTTTGGATACCAGTCCTCTTTCAGGTAGGTGTTTTGCAAATATTTTCTCCCTCTCTGTGGCTTATGTTGCCATTTACTTAATAGTGCCTTTTGAAGAGCAGTTTTTAATTTTAATGCTGTACAACACCAGTTTTTTCTTCTATGAATTGTGCTTTTGGGTTATATCTAGACTCATCGCCAAACCCATGGTCACCTAGGTTTTCTCCTGTGTTTTGATATAGTAGTTTTATAGTTTTGTGTTTTATATTTAGGCTATCATGATCCATTCTGAGATAATTTTTGTGAAATTTGTAAGATCTGTATGGAGTTTTTTGGTTTGGGTATTGGGGGTGGGGGGGGGTGTGCACATGGATGTCCAATTGTTCCATAACCATTTCTTGAAAAGACTATTCTTAGTTAAATTGCCTTTGTTCCTTTGCCAGAGATCAGCTGACTGTAATTCCGGAGGTATTTTCCTGGGTTCTGTATTCTGTCCCATTGACCTACTTGTCTATTCTTTTGCCAGTACCACTCTGTTTTGATTACTGTAGCTTTACAGTTAGTTTTAAAGTTGAAAATATCAGTTCTCCAACTTCGTTCTTCAGTATCGTGTTGGCTATTCTAGGTCTTTTGTCTTTTTGTATAAACCTTAGAATCTGTTAATACCTACAAAAAGCTTGCTGAAATTTTGACTAGTATTACATGACTCTATAGATCAAGTTGG